ACAATCAACAAGAGACTCTGCCTTAAACAAGAAGGGTGAAAGGTGTAGACCAACCTCTACATGTACACAACACACACACACACACACACACACACACACACACACACACACACACACACACAAACTGCACACTAGTCCACGGCACATTAGCCCACTGCACACCAGCCCACAACAATCTGTCTTCAGCTTTCCTCATAAGTTAAGGCCTCAGTTGATCATGGGTCCATAAGCCTGAACTACCAGCTCCTTGGAAGGATGAGGTTTAATTAAAGGCCAGGAGTACAATGACCCCAGGCAATCCAGTGAGATTACAACTCAGAAACAAGTCTAGCCCATTTCTCTCATACTAATTTCTCTACCCTTTCTGGCCTCATTATGAGGCCAACGTGATTGGAATTAAAAATCTTAGTTGAAGTCCATGCTCATCAATATGAGATATTTCCTTAAATATTGAATCTTGCCTTTGCTCATTAACTATATCTCCTATCCCATCCCACTTCATCCTTGACCACCCAGCCAATTTCAAGTCTACTTCACCTGCTTCTTAGCAGCCTGTCCATCACTTTGTATTCTTGGAGCACACATGTTTCATTTGTGTTTCTAAATTAATCAATTTAAAAATTACAACTACAACATCTAGGGGAGAGGAAAAATGTGATCAGAACATACTGTATGAAAAAAATCAATTAAAAAATAATTACAACCAAACAGTAATTGAAAATGGAGAAAAAATAACTTAGATTACAACACTTGTTTGTAACTGAACACAAGGTTTCACAAATAATAGGAATTTGTCAATCACTGAGCTACATCCTTTGTCCATTAATTTTCATGTTAGCATGTGTAACAGTTAGATATTCTGAAGGCTTATCAGCCCTGAGACTAATTTTTCCTTCACCAATCAGTCCCAGATTAATCCCTCCTCCCTGGAATCCCCCTAACTCTACTTAAAAGGAGCTTGCGACTGGCTCCCTTAGGGGTCGCCATTGGCCACCTCACCATGGTGGAAATAATAGACGCTCTTCTATTGCATATGTGACTGACGCTCTTTCTCGGGGGCGTCTCTCGGACCCTAACAGATATCACAGGGGACAGTACCCTAATTCCTGTCTGCAGTGAAGTTTAGTTTTCATAAGTGCTTAAACTAATAAAGCATACTCTGCAATGAGAAAAAAATTTTTGTTTAGCATGCTTTAGAAGGAATTTAATTAAAAATGATTGCCATTTCTTAAGTACACACACTTTAACGGATAAGTGTCTACAAAGTCGTGTAAATGAAAATCTCCCCATAGTTTCACATGCACAAGGTAAACTTTACAGGGTAGATTTTCCCTCAAATATATTGTGTTTGTCTTTTCTCAAAGTTATTCAGAGTGTTTCTTTCTTCAAAGTATCACCTAGTGACTAAAGGTATAACAAAATGCTTATGATTTGAACTTCTTTTATTTGTCAGTTTTGATGTTTAAAAGATACTTTGAGGTGTATAGCTATATTGCAGATTACTAGCATTTATTTAAGTTGAATATAGTGTTACATGCTTGTAATTCCAACACACAGGATGCTGAGGTAGGCAGGAGGGTTGGGAGTTTGAGGCTTCCCTGGACAACCTAAGGAGTTCAAGAACAGACTGAGCTACGTAGAAGATCCTGCCTCAGAAAACTGAAGTTTCATTGTTGGAAGAGTGTAGTGCTCTCAGAGTAGTATGTCAGTTAGTCATCCTCTAGCTTTTACATGGCAAAAATTAAAATATTTTACAGTTGTCATTGTTTGTTCAAAATATATCCCCATATCAATAAACAGCTTGTAATCAGAGAGACTCTTTAAAGTCAGCTCTCACTTATTAATAATGATGACTAATGGTATATTTTAATAAAATTAAACTTCCAAACTATTATACCTTTCCATTTATACTTTGCATTTAACTGTACCAGGCTTTTTCTTTTGGCCTGCCACCCAGCCAGCTCCCAAATCATTACACAGAGACTTACTATTAGTTATGAATGCTCGGCCTGGCTAGCTCTTTTAACTTAAATTAACCTGTTTCTCTTTATCTACCTTTTGCTTGGGGATTTTTACTTTTCTTTCCTTCTGTATTTCACTGCTTCTCATGTCTGGTTGGCGGCTGCCTGGCTTCTTGCCCCAGGCATATCCCTCCTTCTCTCCTCCTTCTCTTATTCTTCTTCCTTTTTGAGCTTAGATTTCTCCTTCTGTTTATTCTTTCTGTCCACCAGCTGCACCTATCCTTTCTCTGCCCAGCTAATGACCATTCAGCTCTTTATTAGACCAATCAGGTGCCTTAGGCAGGCAAGGTGAAACAGATACAACACATCTTTACATCATTAAACAAATGCAGCATAAACAAAAGTAACACACCTTTACACAGTTAAAGTAATATTCTGTAGCATAAACAAAAGCAACACATCTTTGCCCAGTTAAAATAACACTCCACAACATTTGCCATTGTTTTTCATCTTCCCACTGCTGGTGGGCATTTGGGAAACATCTATTAAGGGCAGGAGGGTAGTCTGGCTATCACCCTCAGGGGTAATCTGGTTAACCTGGCTGGCTAGCCAGGCATTCCTTCCCACCCTCACTGTGCCACGGGCATCTTGAAGCCTTCTACTCAGTTCAAGAGGACTACCTTTCTGGACAGAGAAGGGGTGTTCCTTCATCAATGGCACACAGGGAGTTGTGCTGCTCACTAGAGCTTCCTTCCAAACCTGCTCTCAAGAAAACGGCCACTAGGTTGAATATTTGTTTAAATGAGATTTATCTGAAACTCTCCTTATGTAAGTCTCTTTATCCACTTACATAAAGACAGAGTAATTATTTTTCAGTTGTGTGCATGATAAATTTCAAAATATTGTATCTTAAAAGTTCATCACATTAGAAAGTTTAAGAAGCACCAAGGGTATTTATCACACATAACTACATAGAATTACTACATTATCATGGAAAAGAGCTCTGTCATCATGAAGCTTATATCCCTTAACTACACAGGAGTTTTACTGACTTGTCCAATCATAGGCCAGAAGGAGCACCATCAGTTCCTTGTCCCAACTACTTACTACACAGTATTCTACTAAAAATTTTAAAAAGAGTTCTCTTTTATTCCTAATTATGCTAAAATACAGTTAACAAAATATACCGTCCCTTACCATTAACATATTGCATTTGGAGACAAGGAAACAAAGTGGCAAGCCTCAGAGAAGGACAGGGTGACGAACTAACACCATGATGGCACTGGGTGGTGTTTGGATCAATAGCTCAACCCACGCAGCATGTGCCACCCACTAGGTATCAGGGAAAGACCCTGTATTACACTCTGCTTCATTAGCTTAATAATAAAAAAGGTTTGTTTTGTCCTGTTCTGCTGTATTTGTTCTTATGTTATTTTTAGATGTCCATTTGTATTCTAATGAGAAAGAGAAAGAAAGGGTGTGAATTTGGCTGGGTGGGGAAAAAGGGATGATCTGGGAGAAATGGGAAGGGAAAGAATAATTAGAATATATTGTATGAAAAATATCTATTTTCAAGAAAGAAAAAGGAAATTGTATTACATCTCTCAAGTCAAGTAAAATTCATCTAAGAATATGCAGCTACAACAAACAACACAAAGTAGAAAGAGGACGGCCAGGGACCAACCACAGGAGCCACACAAACCTCCTTCATAGGAGCGGCACTTGGGCGTCACAGGTGATCCTGAGGGCATCATCCTGCCAACTGAGAAAGACAACATGCTTCTGGCTGCCTCTTCCTGCCAACTGAGAAAGACAACGTGCTTCTGGCTGCCTCTTCCTGTCACCATTGCTCAACTGTGAAAACACCCAATTTTATCCCGCTGACTCACATGGAGAATCCCTTTGCTGTGCTGTGTTTCTTCGCTTTTTCAGACAATGTTATGAAGCATGAGTCACTTTCTCTCACCCATTTGCTTACAATTATAATCCTCGTTGATTACACTTCAGTTAAAGTTCTAAATACAACCACCATACAATGTGTCTGCCTATGCTAGGGCGTAAAACCATAAGTATCATAAGTAGATTTAAGATTTGGATTTTCCATTTGATGTTCCTACAATTGCCAAAGTTTTAATTTTATTTAATATATTCAACGAGAAATACCGAGCAAGAGAAATTTCTAGCTTGTTTTCAGAAGCTACTAACTGCACGTTAAAGACTAGGAAATTTACCATGAAACTTACATGACACGTTTGCTACAAGAAATCCAAAGTACGCCATGAATGTCATGTTATTAAAATCCCAAAGTAAGATACTGATATCAACAAGACCAAAACAATCTGTGGTCAGAGTCACATACAAAAACACCTGTGAGTTAATGGATGTGCCAGAAGCAGGATCAAGATTTTTCTGGTTCTGTTTGGTCAATCATATTGTACTTTTTCATTTTTTTAAAAGATTTTCTTAAAAGTATGATAAAATACAGCTAGCAAAACTTCCTATTTTATGTGAACTGTATCGCTCTGACACCTGGGCTGCTGATGGCACCCAGGCCGGTGCTTAGCCCTGAGCGATCAGGTCTCAGGTCACTCTCATCTCATGGTGCTGGTTCAGTTCCCTCCAGCTCCACCCTCGTCTAGTGTAACACCCCTGGCTGTGGAAGCTGGTATTTCCTGCGTGTTCCTATTTAGGTTTGCAGTTTGTTACACCAGGGAAACAATACTGCTCTATAGCACCAACATCTAGAGAACAACAAAGAACATCTGCCTCCCAAGTGGAAACAACATGGTTGCTGTGGTTTTCCTACAACACAACCATGCCTCTAGAAATCACAACAGAATGATCAAAAGAAGGTACACAAGAAGAAAAAGGGAAACACCTTTGAGAGGGGGTAGCACCCAGTAGCTCCCAGAGCTTGCAAAGGGTTTATCTGCTAGTGTGTGTAACCTGAGCCATGCATTTCACAGGTGTTATGAAACCGTCTGGAACAGTAACACACTAGGCAATGCTTCCCCTGGAATGAGACAGTTTATGCTTTACCTTCATTTCATGGTGCTGGTCCAGCTTATCCAGTTCCATGGTGCTCACTCCATTTTCCTTCTCTTGTAGCTCAGTTTCCATTCCCGGCCCTCCTCCTTTGGAGCGCAGCCCTAAGTCAGCTCCTGGAGCCCTGCAGCTGCTGTCAGAAGCATTTTCGTCATGGCTATCGGTTATAGATGATGCAGAATCTGTGGTAGTTTCATTTCTTTCTCCATTCACCAAGTGTGTATCAAGAGAGGCCACAGCAGTTTGAACAGGGGTCTCTGGGCTACACGTTGTCTCTTTCTCATCTTCACATTCCATCTGGTTTTGTGCTGCCACCACACCGTTGGCCGAACAACTATGTTGGCCCTGAGTCTGATCTGCATCATTTTCCTGCTTCTGTGGAGAGTGCTGCGTTAGGAATTTCTGTCGAGGTGTGGAGGTCAATCCATGCTGTCCTGGAGTCTGAGGAATATTTAGGTTCACTGTAGAATCTTTTTGCAAATCAATGTAACTTGACAAAACACTGTAAGATAAAATACAAAAAGAAACATCAGTATGAAAAGTTTTAGAATGAAAACAAGTCAATTCTAGGTGAAAAGAAACATATCTATTCATGATGGTTTTGGGAACACAGATTCTTTGGACATGAGTCACATTTAAACAAGCAGTTAGTTAGAAAGGAGGGAAGGCTGGAGATGGGTCACCTGTCAATGGCTAGGCTCACAACCAAAAGCAGACGCGATGAACCTGAACATTTCTTGGTTGGAGCATCCCATGAGCTGTTTACTAATACAACTTATTCAGTAAGAATAGAGATGAAAGAATATTTGTTTAACGAGATTGCCTTTTCCCAAGATCTTTATTTCTTAATCATTTCTTCAAACAAGCATAGGCATTCCTTGTTTATGAACTGGATATAAAACCAAGTTAGTTTGATTTGGAAAGTAGAAACATTTGAAAAACTTTATTAAACATAATAAGTAGTGGTAGCTGCCAACTAATCCCCAATGGTTCTCTTTAATTTTGCTTTTGATCTCTTCAACCTGGTCCTCACAAATCAGATCTTTATACATGCATGAGTTCACTTGCAAGACTCATGCATGACATCTGCAAGACTCTTGCCTTCTCCAGCTCCTGCATCTCCCATCTCCTGGGACTGCCTTTCCCCTTACTGTGGCCTTGCCACACTTCTGTAGTTCTCCATTTGTGCACATCTTAGGGTCAGCAGCCCTGCTCTTGTAGGCACAGCAAATCTTCCCCAGGGCACTGGTAGAGGGCACTCCTCTGTCCCTGTCACTCAGGCCTTTTGAGAAGCTTTTCTTGGCTGTTCTATGTACACAGCACACTCTACCACTTTCTCTAATCTTCTTTTAATCATCTTTAAAGCTCTTATTACTGTTGATAGTCTATGTAATCTTGATAGTATTAAGGACAATAGGAACTCCTCCCAATATATAATCATGTTCCTATGGAAATATTTGTACAGCATTTTAACCTATAATTTAAGGTTGAGGGAGAGAACATAAACTCAAAGCTATAAATTTCTGATAAATTTCTGTGACATAAATAAAAAGAAATTAAAACAGATTAAGAGTCTATGAGCGTGAAGATAGTGTTTTCTTGTTCCCAGATTTATTCCTACAACTTAGCTTGTTGTGTGAAGAGTTCAACAAATGTCTAAGAGATTGTAGATGACTGTGGTGATCCTGTGGCAATGACACAACAGCAGACAACATTTACAAAGTATCCACCAAGGGTCTCAAACCATGCTAAGTCTTCTACACCGGTTGTGGGGTTTTAGCCTTACCTGATTCCTAAAGCAGGACCATAAACAGAGGAATCTATACATGGGAAGATTCTGTCCTATGGCCAATGTCACCTGGCTAGCAAGTGGCAAAACCAGAACTCAAGCTGTGAAGTCCAGCTCTGACTCTCATCGCCTCTGCCCCATATATAAGGAAACCTTTCAGAGGGACTGAGGAGCAGGTGAACAGCTACCAACAAAAAGCAGGGACAGAATCTAAGACTGATCACCATCTTTAGTACAGGTGGGACTCTGGGGAGCTATGGCAAGGCACTTTAGAAAGTACTGAGATGTGCTGTCACCTTCATCCTTCATCCTAACCCACCCTTACCCCGAAGAACAGAAAAATCGAACAGCAACAAAGAAAGGAAGAAAAAAATGTATGGTCCAAGTTCAACCCCAGGGCCACAGTAGTAAGGGAAGGGAAAAAATTTCAGAAGGAGAAATGTTTATATATAAAAAGAAGGAAGTAGCCAGTATAAGTAAGTGTGACACATTCTACTTTGTTATTTGTCTTCTATACATAGTGTATATTGAGCCTGGATAATCTGTCAAAAAATCCTCAGAGATGAACCAAGCTGTCCACTTTCTATAGTCTTCAAAAGGAATGCACTGGAAAATAGCTAACAACTTCCTTTAGCAGCTGACATCAGAAGCACATTTGCACCAGGAGCAAGAGCTGGGGACGGGGAAAAGCAGGAGTTGAACCAGTTCTCAGGAGACCCTGTAGCCTGTAGAAGCCAAGCAAGTGTGTGTGTGTGTGTGTGTGTGTGTGTGTGTGTGTGTGTGTGTGTGTGTGTGTGTGTGTTAGAGTTAGCCATGCAATATGCTTGGGAAAGCTGAGCACTTGTCTGTGGGAAGGCGTTATTTTTAAAATCGTGAAGTTTTTCTAAGCTAAAAAAGAGTATTTTTTTTCTTATTCCAGGAGAAAGAAAAACATGAGAAAAAGGAAGCTACAGTAAAAAATAAAATAAAATCTACTCACGCCAAATCATTCTAAGAATGGTATGACTTTCATCCAAGTGAAACTATGACACTCAGCTGGTCCTTTAAAAAGTATTTATTATTGGTGTGTGTGTGTGTGTGTGTGTGTGTGTGTGTGTGTGTGTGTGTGAGAGAGAGAGAGAGAGAGAGAGAGAGAGAGAGAGAGAGAGAGAGAGAGAGGGGAGAGAGAACATGCATGAGAGAGAGAGAGAGAGAGAGAGAGAGAGAGAGAGAGAGAGAGAGAGAGAGAGGAGAGGGAGAGAGAACATGCATGAGCTATGGAGCACCGTGGAGGTCAGGAGTCAGGTCTCCTTCTCCCCTGAGTTTTAGGAGTGCGGGGCAGGCACTCCTCTTGCTGAGCCGCCTCACTGGTCTTCACGTACAAACAGCAGTGATACGTGGCCCTCCAAGGTCCTTCTGGCTTATTTCTGTGGTTATTGAGAACCCAGTGGCTTCCTACTTGTAAAACAAAGTAGTAGGCTGTTACCATAGGGATCAAAACTGAAACCCAGACTGCAGGCTTGTGGACACTGTCCAACAGTAAAGTCAATGCAGTATTAACCCACTTTGCAGACCATTTAGAACCGGCTGTCCTGGTGTGGAGACATGACAGCCAGCCCTAACCTGATGGCACTGTGTTTTTGCCTGCCCAGAAATGAACTCCTCCATCCTAGTCATTAGAGTGCTCAGACCTGAATAAATTTACGCAGGTACCCTGTGATGACTGGAGACACTTAATATGGAGCGGGGTGTATGGGCTGTTGACCTTTGGTTCTGGACTGCCTGAGAGACCCTTGTGGCCTGCAAGCGAGATAAGACTAGGATAATGGCACACCTTTAACCCCAGCACTCGGGAGGCAGAGGCAGGCACAGCTCTGTGAGTTCAAGGCCAGCCTGGCCTACAGAGTGAGTTTTAGGACAGGCAGGACTACACCGAGAAACCCTGACTCAAAAAGAAATAATAGGATAATGGGCTGTGAGTATTAACAGCTGCTTTTGCTTGTGTAGAACTCACTATCACTATGAGAAAGTGAGGAAATTATTACTATATTATTATTACTATATAGTGGGAAAGAAAGAAAAACTAAGGGAAGCAAAACAATTTTCCTGTCCAGCTGTGGAGTCCACGGATGGTTGTAACACACACCTTTCTGATGTCCACCTTAAAACCTCACCTTCATCCCCTTCTGAATGGTACGCTGTTTGGCTTTAAGGCTGCCGTCCTTCTGCTAGCAGTAAGAATAAATTCATTTACTCTAAGTTGGAATGGAATCTAAGTCTTTAGTGGATTCGCACACCACAACACTGGCACTGCCTATATGACACCAGACCAATGCCGATGCTACTTGCAATGGAGTCCACCACAAGTCGAACCCTGCAAAGCCTTGCCCAAACATGAACATTGTACCTTACATATGCTTAGAACCATGAATTACAGCACATCCTTCCTTACATATAGTACAAAAATTGTACCCATTTTACCTGGAGAGATAAATTCAAATAATGCAAAGAATGGGTCACAGAACTGATGGCAGCAGAAACATCAGCCTTTGGAATATTGGCTCCTTTGAGGTCCCCCAAGCCCTGATGAAAGCACTCATACAGGCTCAGGCTCCAGCCCTCCTTACATTCTGCAGTCACTGTAGTGACTGTAGAATCTGTGAACTGGAAGGATCTCTTTTGAATCAATTCACTCTGAGAAGAAAAAAAACTGAATGGAATTTAATCATTCCTTTAAATATTGCTATAATTTTAGCTATCAAAAGCATTACAAATTCCCTTCAGAGGTATTTGAAGATTTACAGGAGATATCACAACTGGTCAGGAATGAAACATGAAGACAGGCTTTTAATCATTTTTCTCCAGAAGTTGTAACTATTATAGTAAGCATAATATTTTGTAAATGCATTACATTTTATTTTCTTGTTTTGTTTTTGAGAGAGTCTTGCAGTGGGGGCCAGGCTCTCCTCAAACTCTCGATCCCCCTGCTTCAGCCCTGTGAGTGCTGTGATTATAGGCCTGTGCCCCCAGCTGGCTTATACTTACATTTTGAATTTTGAATGAAAGACATTGTAGTTCTGTGCTTGCTCATGCTTTCCAGGACATCCCCCAAATATTCCTGAGCTATAACGTCGCTATATATATATATGTATCATACTTTTAAGTATCAAATATATATATGACACTTAAAAGTTCATGTAATATGAACAGCCTGGATATGAGTTGGGGTAGTGAAAGGCGAGGGTCGAGGGAAAGAGAGCTTGGGGGAGCGGGAGATCCCAGCTGGATCAACAACAGAGAGGGAGAACAAGGAATAGGAGACCATGGTAAATGAAGACCACATGAGAATAGGAAGATGCAAAGTGCTAGAGAGGCCCACAGAAATCCACAAAGATACCCCCACAACAGACTGCTGGCAATGGTCGAGAGACAGCCCGAACTGACCTACTCTGGTGATGGGATGGCCAAACACCCTAATTGTCGTGCTAGAAACCCCATCCAACTACTGAGGGATCTGGATGCAGAGATCCATGGCTAGGCCCCAAGTGGATCTCTGGGAGTCCAATTAGCGAGAAAGAGGAGGGTTTATATGAGCAAGAATTGTTGAGACCAAGGTTGGATAAAGCACAGGGACAAATAGCCAAATGAATGGAAACACATGAACTATGAACCAATGGCTGAGGGGCCCCCAACTGGATCAGGCCGTCTGAATGGGTGAGACAGTTGATTGGCTTGATCTGTTTGGGAGGCATCCAGGCAGTGGGACCGGGTCCTGTGCTCATTGCATGAGTCGGCTGTTTGAAACCTGGGGCCTATGCAGGATCGCTTGGCTCGGCCTGGGAGGAGGGGACTGGACCTACCTGGACTGAGTCTACCAAGTTGATCTCAGTCCGCGGGGAAGGCTTTGCCCTGGAGGAGGTGGGAATGGGGGATGGGCTGGGGGGAAGGTGAGGGGGGCAGGAGGGGGGAGAACAAGGGAATCCGTGGCTGATATGTAGAACTGAATTGTATTGCAAAAAAAAAAAAAAGTTCATGTAATAGTACACATGAAACATCCATACATATAAAATAGTAAAATAAATTTTAAAAAAATGATTCACGTAATGGGAAATTATCTCTCAATATTACACCTAAATGAGTGAAAATATTTGGCTTTATGGGTGTAAGTGAAATGATATACATTCTGTTCAGATTTCTAATGACATAAACAATTCTAAGATGAAACAATTTACGTTGTACAAGCAGAAAAGCAACTTGTATAAATTTGGTTTTTATTTTTACATGGAAAACCACATTTTGTTCATACATTGGAACTAAAGAATATAAAATTCTCTTGCTTAGAATGAAATGGGTATTCAGCATGAGTTTTGTGTTTATCTCTCTGAAACACCATGAGGTAACAACAGGAAGAGGGAAGCAGGCTGAATTGGTACAGCAGCCTCTCATTAAATGAAATGAGTCGGAAGACTGGAGAGGACCCAGGAAGGCAAGAATCCGCAGGAGTCAGGTCCTCAGAGAGAGTGAGGACAATAGAGGCTAAGATGACATGGTGGCCTTTCTACCAAGAGTGGACAGCAGCGTGGCCACAGAAGTGACCCAGAATGACACACAGATACAGGAAATGAGAAACAGTTTGTCCTTATGTAGTGAATGTTAACACCTACCAGGGCAAGATCATGAAATTGATTTTTGAAATGCACTTGTTAAAGGCAGGAAACTTAGTAAGATACTGTGATTTTCAAAGGCCATCTTTTCCTCCCCGCCTTCTCCTATTACATGGTAACTCTTACCTGCCTCCTTCAAAGTGACTGATGAGATCTGACACCTTACTGGGTTTTCCTTTTGAGGCACATGAAGTAGGGGCTGGATTAGCTTCCTCCATCCTTGGTTTTGTACTCGGTAAAGCTTTATGCCTGGGGACTTGGGGTGTATGGGATGAAGGTAAATTCTGCAGGTGTAATGGCTTTGGAGGCACTGTAGAAAAAGAAGAACATTTAATAGTTCACTGTTTTGCTCTGTAACAGCAAAGATTCTGGTATCCTGGGTGGGTGCAAAAATCTTCAGCATTAGTAAGCTATTGTAAAGGAGTTTGTCATACTGGGACTGACCTAAACAAGGAGAACTTTATTTAGTCTGTGATTTTTCTCCAGTATCACTGGAATCATATAATTACATATGTATAATTATAAATATACAATATATGCTCTGGTAATGCCTGGAAATCTATATAAGACTACAGAATTCTAAACTCTGTGGAAGACTGAAGATTAGTTATTTGTCCAAACAAAGAAAAGGTGATAAATTAAAAATTAAGTGCTAGAAATACGTCGTTTTAGAATTTATTGTTTGGCGCATTGTAGAAATACATGCAGATTTTCTAATAACACAGTGACTGCAGTTATCCCACACACAGAGCTACAAAGTTAAACATCACAAAAGCCTATGGAACAGCAAAACAGAAGGAATTTCTACTTTTAAACTTTTTATTTTTATTTTCTTTTACTTATTTATTGTATTCCCCCCATGTAGCATCTTATATATCAAAAGCCTTTCCTTCATTTGCTCTTAGATAAGTTTTACACACTAAACTCCATAGTCTGAGGCCAGTGCCATTTTTACCTCTTCCATCTATGGAAGCAGAAGGCTAGGTGATACCCAGGATAACACAGCCTATCTGATCTCACAGCTGGCATCCAGACTCTTACCATCCTTCACAATTAACCCAGCAAATGAAGTAGTGAAATCGGGAAATCTACTGCTGCTGTTTGATGTATCAGACAGTTGTCTTGAATTGACATATCACCAATCACTTACTTCATTTAAATTCAGAAATAGAAACAGGTCATTACATAAAATACTAACATTTACAGAATTCCTTAGAAAATTATACATAAAAAGATACAATACGCTAAGCTTTCATCATTTCTGTTCCAGTAATCAATTTATTACAGGGAACAAAAATGGATCACAATGAGCTCTGTAAGAAGAACAATCAATCTGACTAATTCTCTGAACATAAAGAGATCTGAATAAAAGAAACTAGCATGCTTTCTATAAAGACAATATTTTCAAAAATATATCCAGGGGAATGGTGCAATATCCACAGGATAGAAACAGTTTATAAAAGTGTGGTAGCTGGAGTGGAGAGATGGCTAAGTGGTTAACAGCACTGGTCTTACAGAGCAACTGGGCTTGGTTCCTGACACCCACACTGGGACTCACAATGCCCTGTAACCTCTGAGGTCACTGACCTTAGGTTTTATTCAACATTCACTTTACATGAATTGTCAATGTATGATGAACTATGTGTGAAATAATGCCATGGGCATGTGAATATCAACATTGCACTCATAGACATACAACCCAGTAGGGCAGTGGTTCTCAACTGTCCTAACGCTGAGACCCTTTAATATAATTCCTCATGTTGTGGTGACCCCAACCATAAAATCATTTTTGTTCCTATTTCATAACTGTAATTTTGCTACTGTTATGAGTTGTAATATAATGTAAATATCTGATATGGAGAATATCTAATATGTGACACCTGTGAAAAGTCTCGGCCAAAAGAGTGAAGACCCACAGTTTAAGACCTGCTGCACTAGGGGAAACTCTTTCATTCTAACAATACTCTCCTTTATAAAATCATTTATGCTTCCAAACTATATGTCCAAGACTCCCTTTCTTGCCCACATTCACTACTCTAAGGTTCTTTATTATTTTTCATATTCATAGCTTTCATGTTTTCATTCAAAACTCTTGAGGCAAAAGAAGCAATACAAACAAAAGGCTCCGGGTACACGGGTGTGTAGTGGAGCTACCAAATATTCCATAAGCAACTTTTATCATCAGTCACATTTGCTAACTATAATAACTCCAATTAATTGTTACTATATTAAAAATTTGAGGTAACCCAAGAAAGTAGAATCAATTGAAAGTAGAATCAATTGGCAACGTCTGCCTTGAATGCAAAATGGAAAAATAGCTCTTGGTATGGACCCAGAGTCCAGGGTACCTTTGGTTCTTCTGCTCTGCCCCTTTCAACCATTCCTTCTACCCCATCTCTATTCCTTGATGATTCTCCACAAACCCACAGAACAGCTCTCTACTAGGGACCTACAGCTGTTAAACTTAGCTGGGGCTTAGGAAAATGACGTTTATTCACCTCCCCACCCTCAATTCCAGACTCTCCAGACTTACTCTTAGACCTGCTGCTGCCCAAACACCTGAGTCACTCCTCTCAGTCCATTTTCATCCTCTTGGGATTTAGCCTCTTGGTACAGACACAGAGAGAGACATGGGCTCCTTCAGTTCTTTCCCTTTACCCCACTTACCATTCATTTGTGGCTCTCACTCTATCAAGGACCCCATTGCTGTCACATTTGGCTAGGGCCCCAAATGTGTAGCCAGAAGGCTTCTCTGGTCCTGCCAAGCCCCCACAGTCCCATGGCCTGCTTATAGAATAATCACTCAGAAGCTTATATTAATTAAAACTGCTCGGCCATTAGCTGAGGCTTACTCCTGACTAGCTCTTACACTTAAACTCAGCCCATTTCTGTTAATCTATATGTTGCCACATTTTCCATGGCTTTACCTCTGTGCCATTACATGCTGCTCCCTGGACATCAGGCTGGCATTTCCTGACTCAGCCTTTCTCTTCCCAGAATTCTCCTTGTCTGCTTATCCCACGCCTTTAATCCCAGCACTCAGGAGGCAGAGCCAGGCAGATCTCTGTGAGTTCAGGGCCAGCCTGGTCTACAGAGCAAGATCCAGGACAGGCACCAAAACTACACAGAGAAACCCTGTCTCGAAAAAACAAAACAAAAAAACCAAAACCAAAAACAAAAATCCAGGCACAAAACATCCAGGAAATCTAGGATACTATAAAAAGAACAAACATAAATAATCGGAATAGAAGAAAGAGAAGAAACCCAGGTCAAAGGCACAGAAAATACTTTTAACAAAATCATTGAAGAAAATTTCCCCAATCTAGAGAAAGAGATGCCTATAAAAGTACAAGAGACATACAGAACACCAAATAGACAGAACCATAAAAGAAATTCCCCAAGGCACACAACATTGAAAACACTAAATCAACAGAAAAGAAGTACATTAAAAGCTGCAACAAACACAAACAAAAACAGTGTAGCTAAAACATTCCTGAATAATAAAAGATTTTTCAGAGGTATCACCATCTCAGATCTCAAGCTGTAAAACTGAACTATAGTAATAAAAACAGCATGGCATTGGCATAAAAACAGGCCGGGCGGTGGTGGCACACGCCTTTAATCCCAGCACTCGGGAGGCAGAGCCAGGCGGATCTCTGTGAGTTCGAGGCCAGCCTGGGCTACCAAGTGAGTCCCAGGAAAGGTGCAAAGCTACACAGAGAAACCCTGTCTCAAAAACAAAAAAAAAGAAAAAAAAAAAACAGACACATTGACAAACAGAATTGAAGACAAATTTAATTTCACACAGCTGATTTTTTACAAGGAAGCAAAACATATACACTGGAGAAACGACAGAATCTTCAACAAATGACGCTGGTCAAACTAGATAGCTTTATGCAGAAGAACGAAAACCAATGTATACCTATAACCCTGCATAAAATCAACTCCAAACAAATTACCAACCTCAATGTAAGACCAGCTATCCCAAATTTAAGAGATGAAAATACAGGGAATAGTCTTTAAATCATCAGAATATGAAAGGACTTTCTGAACAGGATATTGATTACATAGGCATTAAAACCAACAATTAATAAATGGACCTCATAAAGTTAAAACCCTACTCTACAGCAAAGAATGCCATCAGTGAAGCAAAGCAGCAGTCTACAGAATGCGGAAAATCTTTACCAATAATACATATGATAGAGGATTATCATCAACTGATAACTGGATAATAAAATGTGGTACATTTAGACAATCAAATATTATTCAGCTCTTTAGAAAAATAAAATTCTGAATGGTAAATGGATGGGACTAGAAACAACCATCCTGAGTGAGATAAACCCGAATAAATAGACAAATATTGCATGTTTTCTTTTATATGTTGATGTTATCTTTTAAGCTTTGGGTACGTATGTTTCAATCAGAATAACCACAGAGCATCAGACAACTAATAAGGAACCAGTGGGGAGAAAGGATCGGACAGGGAAGGGGAAGCAGAATATATTGTTATAAAGTGGAGATAAAGTGGAAACTAGAATCGGAGGATTAAATGGGGGCAGGGAATAGTAGGGCAGGGTAAAGAAGGGGTACAGGGAGCTGGGAAGGAACAATCAGTACTAATGGGCTTTTGAAAAGTCATATAGAAACCATATATATATGAATTGTAATGTTTAACACACACACACACACTTTTTAAAAATGGAGTGAGTCACCATATAATGGAGGAGACAATGCCCCAACTAGACATCTTATGCCATCGAGTCAAACCTCCAGTGCCAAGAATGGGTTACATCTTGCTGTGTTACTGATCAAGGGATCCCACAGACCCCCAAACATCATAGGCTATTTCCAGGGCTATTGACTGTTGGTTATTCTTCATGGCCTGAAGGTAAGGCCATATTGCTGCAGACATCACTTACTTATGTCACTGAACATGGAGATTTGAGTGGTGCCCAACTAGATGCTTCACTTCTACTGACTAGTGTTCATGGTGCTCAAAGGTACTTTACACGCTGCTGGGGAAGACAGAAATCACCACGATATGCTCAAGCAATAGTAGAACGATATTATGGGAGTAACAAGCCACTTTTTTTCAAAATGAATTTTTTTTCCATACAATAAATTCTGATCATGCCTTTCCCCTTCCCCAACCATTTATTGGTTGGATTTAAGGCCTATTTCATTAGATGGAACCCACAGCTGAAACTGCTAAAGTGTCCAAGAACCCAAGATTAGATAGTTCATGAGCCTAGGGGAAAAAACCAAATGCTATTGATCTGCTAAAGGAAAATAGCAATAAAATGATTCCTA